CACGGGAGGTTTGCAGTCAGTGTTAGTGAGGGACTGGTAGAGTAGGTGCAAATGATTCTCCAGCGTCGGGAGGCTTGCACAGATCTTCCAGATCTCCACCTGGAAGGATGGTTTCAACCATACCGGTCTGCTTCTGCCCTCAGTGGCCAATCTTTGTACATGATAATGGATGCCCTAAATGTGTGTTTTAAGAGCTCCTGAGTGTGTGTAATACTCAAGTCAGTGGATGTTAGGGTGGCATCATAAACAGAGCAGCACTTCTTCAAAGGAGCCTGCCTCATCTTCCTGAGCACCTATGACTTGGGCACCCCTTGCTGCACCCCTCAGTTGTAAGCAGTGGACTGTACATGTGGGAGAAGTGCTGGAGAATCATGTGACTCCCCTTGAGCAGCAAAACCCTCAACACTTGTCTCAGTCTGCTTTCTCTACTATCACAGAATACCACACACTGGGAAATTTATGAAGCAAAGTCATTTATTTAGCTAATGGTTCTGGAGCTGGGAAGTCTAGTGACACGGTGTGGCATCTGGTAAGAGCCTCCTGCTGTGTCATACCATGGCACCAAAGCAAAAGGGCAACCCATACATGCAGAAGAGGAAGCACAAGAGGCGGCCTTGCTTTCTGAGCTGCTCTCACAGTAACTAGCCCACTTCCACAATAAGAACATTAATTCACGTAAGAGGCCGCTGTCCTCATGACCTGATCACCTCTTTTTAGGCGCCACCTTCTAATACTGTTTCATAATTAAGTTTCTAATATGTGAATTTGGGGGACCCGTTTGGCAATGATACTAGGCAGCTGGAAAAAGTGGGGAGCCACAGGAGGCCCAGTAACCTGTGATCACATACTCCCCACCTTTGTGCCAATGAGTTCTTGGCAGGTTGAAAGTTGAAGGTTTTTACCACATGTCTCTCTGAGTTTGGCTCTGAAGGGCATTAACTTTTCATATATTGCAGCTAAGTGGGATTTTAGAATCCATGTTAGCAACAGGGTATTTAATTTCAGATCCACAGGGCCCACATCTAAGCTTAATATTGCATGCTTGTCAGAATGAATTGCAAACTCTCTCACTGTAAGTTCTGCATGGGACCTAGGGACTCTAGCAAGATGGGGGTGCTATGGGTTCCATCCCATCTACACCTGCAGAGTTTCTTTGAGATGACATTTAAAATTTCCAATGTTCCTCACTTTCCCAGAGAAGATGCAACTTTCTGTCATTCTGTACTCTTTCCAAAGCTCAGTGGTCTGCCCTAATTAATTAGTCAATCATTAACAAGCAGATAGGCTGTCTGGCCCCAGGCCAGCAGGTGCATTTCCTTTACTTGAAGTCTCCTTTCTGAATAGGTCATTCTTGCCAGAATGTGGTACAATTGACCAGCAATGATCTTATCCCCGGATTTCCCTGCTAGGAGATTCACAAAGTAAAGTTTGCCTGGCTTTAAGGGGGGAGGTCAGTTTTTTTTTTTTTTTTTTTTTTTTTTTTTTTTTTTTTTTGTTTTTTTTTTTTTTTTCTTTTTTTTACGACTGAGGCGGTGAGGGTGGCAACCGGCGGGGGGGGTGCCCAAGTGGGCCCGTGCAGGGTGCCCCGGCGCGGCGAAAGCGGCATCTGGGCGTGTGAATACTACCGGGGGGGTTTTTTCATAGAAAAAACGGAGCTATCGGTCTGTCTGATTGAAATATAGCAAGTTTGAGGAAAGAAAGTGGCCAGGCATCAAGATTTCATATGTAGGGCTGGGGATGCAGCTTAGTGGCGGAGCACTAACTACCAGGCACAAGTCTCTGGATTTGAGCCCCAAAGCCACCTCCCAAAAAAGTATTAAGATTTCATTTGTAACCTGGGAATAAATGCACGCCAACAGATTGCATAATCTTAAGGGATTCATACCCTTTGCTTTGTAATTTGGAAATGCCCAGCTAGGTTTTTATTATAGAGGGTTGAATTCAAAGAAATATTTGCTGTGTATGAATGTCCTGGGGAGCACAACCCACCATGCCATCCCTGGGTGTCAGGCAGGGGCTGCATTTCCAGGTTCTTTTCAAATCAAGATTCCAGGGTCAAGATGTACTGTTAACTTTCTTTTGTTATTACCATTCTTTCTCTCTCTTCCTTTACTTTTCTCTCTCTTTCTTTCTTTTTTTTTCCTTTTCTTTCTTCTTCCTCTTCCCCCCCTCCTGCATTTCTTCATTTCTTTAAGTGCTTCCAGACACATTCATTTTTCTTTTTCTTTTTTTTTTCTTTTTTTTTTTTTTTTGTGGTACTGGGGCTTGAAGTCAGGACCTTCACCTTGAGCCACTCTCCAGCCCTTTTTTGTGAAGGGTTTTTTTGAGATAGGGTCTCACAAACTATTTGCCCAGGCTGGCATTGAACTGCGGTCCTCCTGATCTCTGCCTCCTGAGTCACTAGGATTATAAGCGTGAGCCACCAGCACCCGCCAGGCACACTCTTTGGAGCAGGGTTCAAGTGAAACCTCACATTGGCCTCGGACTCTGCCTGCAGGAGAGGAAGGGAAGGTGTGCCCAATTTGCTATGGCAATAAATGCTTGGTTTTAGTTTTCTTCATGGACTAACCACACAAACACTTCCTATGTAGTTCAGGTTGGCCATATTTTATTTCATAGAGAAAAAAGCAGTTTACAAATGTGAAATTATTCTGATTATCTAATCTCTGGGCAATGCAAAGAGTTAAATGATGCGTGAAACTGCCTGTCAGCCTGCATTAGACAGAGCTGTGTTTACACATCCAAAGGCAGCCCATGAATTATTTAACCAGAGGGATTCTGGCTGGACACAATTTATCCCGAGTTTCTTGGGAGGTAATCTGTGGCCCCTGAGCTCCATCTTGGCTAAGGAAACTGTCTGACAAACACCATGGGTTGTTGCCAGAACCATGTCTCCTTGAGAAGAACTTGAACTAAGCTCCTACAGGCTCCAGATGGTACAAAGTAGAGGGGTGGTTTGTAGAGTCCTGAAAGCTTTGCCAAAAAAGACAGAGTTGGCCATATTTCGATCCAAGCAGTAGGTTTGCCTTCATGCTGTGAACTCAAGGGTTATCACTGGGATTTTAGAGAATTCATTTAATAACACCCCTGGTTCCCATCTGGACTTGGACTCAATGTGAGAGAGAATGAAAGAGAAGTGAGGCAGATGGAGATTGGAATGTCACCTTTATTGCCCATTGGCCCATGGGAGAATGTGGGAAACAGTGCCACAGTATGCCATGATTTGGAACCCCAGGGTGAAGGCACACTTCCTCTCTCAGTGCCAAAACTACAGTCTTGTCCAGTAGGGCAAGATCTGGGATCCTTTTACCCTGAGAGAGGGAGCAGAGATGAGCGAGACTTTCTGCTCCTTGGAAGAAGAAGCCAGGGCCAATTCCTCACTATTCCTCTACCTGGACTCACCTTTCAGGTGCGCTTCCCTCGTCTCCTGTTGGCGGGAGAACAGAGGCTGTAGCAAGAGACATGAGCACCTGAGGAAAGCCTTCCTTAGGGAAATGGCACCCCACACAGTCCTCCAGAGAGGACAAGCAGCATTTGGAGGAGGGAACCGTGGGAGACTGTGAGAGGTGGAGAGGATTTTAAAAGGCACCAGTGTCTTACATCTTGCAGAAGGAAATAGAGGCACTGGGATTCATCCAAGGTTATGTATCTAATAGTGGCAGAGCTGACTTTTGTGTGGTAACTTATGGTTTCAAAACTCTCCCATATACACACACCATGGTATGAACACCTTTGCAAGGACACAGAAATGCACTTCTCACCCCCATAATCTCACTGTGAGTGACTAGACTACCTCTTGGGCCATGGGGCTCCACCCTATGTGAATCTCAGGTCAGAGTCTCACCCCTACCTCATCAATCACAACTCGGATGCAGGCTATGCTTAAAGAATAAAGGTGCTTTGTTGACAGTTTCTATCTGAGCACTTAGATTATGAACAGAATCCGAAAGGCAGTCAGCTCCTGCCAACCCAAATCTTGGGGCAGAACAGAGCTTGGGAAAAGACAAAGTGAGGGGCATCCTAGATTGATACATCCCTGGGATCTAACAGAGGTCATTGTCACACCTGCTTCTGGAAATGCTCACAACTCCAAGCAGCTTCTTCCCTCTGTCCTGCTGTACTTCCCTCACTGGTGCATTCCACTGTCAAAATCAACTTTTCACTGCAGCACTGGACCTGGGCACCATCTGCAGCTGTTGTTGGGGACCAAGCCCTGAAGTGCTTTGGTCTGGGTCCCACCAGAGCTCCCACACTGGGTGCTAGAGAAGTCAGAAAAGGACCCTCTTCACTATGCCCGTGGCTTCTGGGAAGCCAGTACCTTTGTTATCACCATCCCCCAGGCCACTCATTCCCCTCTGCCAGGGAAGCAATCACCTGCTAAACAGCCACCAGCTGAGTGAGCCACCTGTTGGCAAAGGCTTTTTAGCTGTCAGAAGTTGTTATCAAAGCAACGAGGTCCCTCTTTCTCTGTGGCACATGCATTATCACAAGGGCAGGTCCTTCTTCATCTCCCTCTGCCTCCTACCTTCCTGGACTTTGAATGCCCCTGGAGGTCTGAAGCTAGCATGTAGCATTTGAGGGAGCTCAGGACCCTGGCCTGATGCTCATGCAGAACCCCCCATTGCTCTGCAAAGGCAAGTGGGCCTGGGAGCCCGACTAAGTAAAGCCCTGCCAGCTCCTTAAATATTTTTCATATATGTCTCACCAGAGCTGTATAGCAACCTGGGGAAGCTGGCAGCTGGGAGAGTAAGGCCATGGGGCAGGCAAGTCACAGTTCTGTGCTCCTGCCTTCCCCTCCCTTGATTCTCCAACCCATCCCATTCATTTACGTTGTGACAGGAAGGAGTAGGAGTGCTGGGGAGGATTGATCCGGAAATACTCAGAAACCCAAATAGCTCTCACCAAGACACTTGGATTTCAGGGAAATAGGGATGTCTGTCTTAAACATTTTCCACAAAAATTTTTTTCTATGGTGGTCCTCATCCAATTCATTCATGAAGACACCAAGAGCCTCAGAGGTGACGAGATGTCCTTGTAACCTAGCAGGGGTCAGAACCACATGCAAGGAACCACTCTGGGAGCTTTATGAGGTGAGACCTTCATCCCACCCTCAGATATGACCCCCTGGTTGGCTCTAGTCTATGAATACAGTATTTGTTCCTATCCCCTGCCATTAGATATAGTGTTGGCTTTCAGAAAACCAGAGCGAGCTTTGAAGCACTATGCCACGTGGCTCACTGGGAAGTGGGCAATGTGGAGGAAGTCAAATTAGTCAAGTTAGCACATGTAACACTCTCTAAGGTAGAAATAGCCATCATCTCCTGAGAGAGAATGTGTATGCGTGCGTATGTGTGTGTGTGTGTGTGTAGGGAGAGGCAGGAGAAGAGGGAAAGAGAGATGGGACAGAAAGGAAGGTGAGAGGAAATAGTTTTCATTATTCATTAGGCAGAAATACATGAAAAGATTAATTCCTACAGTCCGTAATGTCATTTCAGGAGTGTAATGGTTTGCTAGGCCTGCCATAACAAAATGTCACCAGCTGGGTAGCCTGAGCAACAGAGACTGACTGACAGTTCAGGAGGCTAGGAAGTCCAGATCCTGTGTTATTGGGCTGGTTCCTCCTCAGGATTTGGATCTATTTCACACCTCTCTCTTAGGCTGTGAAATAGACAGCTTCTCCCTGTGTCTTTACATCATCCCTCCTGTATTCACGTCTGTCTCCGGGTTGAAATTTTCCCTTCTTGAAGCCACCAGTCATATTGAATTAGGGCTCACACTAATGACCTCACTTTACCATGGTTACCTCTGGAAAGACCCCCATCTCCAAATAAGGACCCATCCTAAGGTAATGGGATTTAGGACACCAATGTATGGATTTGGGGCAACACAATTCAACCCATACAAAGGAGATTCATTCATAAAGTTGTAATAAGAATATCGCCAATTCAACAAGAAGTTTCCTGCAAAGCAGACAGAACCACCATTGTGGAAGTTACACAAAATATGGGCTCCACAATGGATCCTAGCCTCACCATCTGTTTACCTATCCCAAACCCTTTCCCCTAGTATTTTAGTCCTCTGTAAAAGCCTTTCTCCTGAAGTCAGGGGGAAAATCCACCTATCTTCCAAACTACTGTAGTCAGTGTTTCAAATCCAGTGTTTTTTTTTTTAAATTTGTATCTCTCCTCCCCACCTTCTGATTCTGACCTCCAAAACCCACCTTTCTCTTTCTCTGCCATTCCTCTTGGTGACTTACATGGGTAGATGGCAGAATACCCACCTAAACTTAACAAGTTAGGTGACTTGGCCAGATTAATGACCAGTAGGTGGCAGGGCCCCGGGCCATCATCCCCTTAGGTGGCATCCAGACAGCCAGGTTCTGGTTATCCAAGCCTCTGCCTCGCTGTTCTTCATGCCCCACCTCATGCTTGCTTGCCTTCCAATTGCAGAAGAGCTGCAGAGAAACAAGCTACAAAAGCCCCACTTAATCTGTGAGATTAACAGAAGTAATTGGCAAATGACCCTGCCACTCTTCCTGGGGGGGTGCAATTTATTTTCTGATATAGGTATTTATCCCACTGAGACTGAGTGTGTAGCCCACAGTCTATCAAATGATTCTTGGCATTGCTCAGCCTCCTTCTCAGTCAGATTGTATTAGAATTAAATCAGGCAGATACATTCTTTATTAAATCTCATTTTCTTGGGGATGAAAAATAAGTTTCTCTTTCAATTCATGATTTCAAGAGAAGGAGGCAAAGGACTTGGAAATTTAAAACATCTTTTCTTGGATTCATCCTTCCTCCAGGCAGACATGGGCCTCCCCTTGCCAAGCTGCTGCCTGTGAGCAAGAAACTCCTACTGCTTATCTTGCCATATAGTGAAACTTGGCATATAAGGCAGTATGTTCATAGCTTTTCTGTTGCTATAACAAAATGCTTGGGGCTGGGTTGCATATAAAGCAAAGTTTTATTTAGCTCATTGTTTTGGAGACTTAAGAACATGATGCCAGTTCTGGTGAGAACTTCGAGGCATATGGTATCACATGGCTGGTGACATATAAGAGAGATCACAGAGAGTATTGGGAGGCCGAGCTTACTCTTTCCATAATAACCCACAAGAACCTGAGAGCCCACAAGAACCATGTTAATCCCTTTCTGATGCCCTCAATGACCTAATTTCCTTCCAGTAGGCCCCACCTCTCAACACCACCACACTGACTGAGGACCAAGCTTCCAACACATGAGCCTTTACGGAACACTCTAACCATAGCCAAACCACCACAGGCGATAAAGGTAAGGCTGCCCTGGAAAGCCCAGAGTTAATGCCGAGGTAATGAAATACTGCTTTTCTATATAGTTGGAAGCCTATATACAGCAGGACTTGTCAGATCAGGAGTGACTTTTGGTGACACCTATTTGGAAAGTGTGGCTCTCCAGTCCCAGCTGCTGCCCTCTGAGGCTGAGGGAGAAACTGCACAGAGCAAGGTCCAATCACCCTCTTTGAGGGAGCAGCAGAATCTTCCATTGCTACTCATCTGCTTAGACAATCTGCCCTTATGAATAGCATTAGTGCTCTCACAATAAAAGTCCAAGGGAGCCTGGTTGCCCTCTGAGGCCATCTGCCAGTAGCTTGGTCTTAGACTTCCCAGCCTCCATAACTTTGAGTGGTAAATTGCTCTTGCTTATAAATCTCCCAACCTAAGATATTTTGCAATAGCAAAGTCATCATCATTCCTGAGCTGGAGAGTCAGACAGGGGAGAGAGCAGCCAATTCAGAAAGACTGGGAGCCTCCAGCAGCCTCTGGTTAAGGGGATAGTGCAGGAACACCCGGAGGGGCAGGATACAAACCCTCAGAGGGCTCTGGGTTCCTGCTACAGAGCAGGAATGGCACTCTGGTGTCTTAGAAGCAGCAGAGCAGGGGCTGGTGTGTTCAGAAGCATTAACTATCAGCAGGAGAGGCATGCAACACAGAACTGAAAAAGGGATCTTTGCTGCTCTCCCAGGGGCTGCATAAGGCAGGGTTGTCCTGGGCCTCCCCTGTGGGGGTCCAGTGGGAGCTCATGTTCTGCTGGACAGTAGCTCTGGAAGGCATTATCTGAAGTCAGCCTTGTCACCACACTACTGCACTTCCATACCTACACCCCCCTGCTTCCTTAGGCTCACTTAAAATCCCCAAGGGGCGTCTCTGCTGAAAGCAGTGTCCAGGGAAAGGCCCTGCCTGTCTGCTTTCCCAGCCCCTAGCACGTAAGCAAGTGCTTGAATGATTGGCATAAGTGATAATTCTCCTGTCTCCCCTTCAGGGCCGTCCTTGGTACTTACTCAGTTCTACCTGATTTTGCCATATAGAATTGGGGGCTGGCAGAGGACATCTTCACATTGTAATTTATCTCAGTCTCTCTCCTTCCTGGAGTGTGACTTTCTGTGTTCACTGGAGCAGTCTGGGACATCAGATATGAAGAATGATGAAGCTAAAGAGAACACCCCAGAGACAGGGAAATGGGACAACCAGGAGCAGTGGGTCTCCTGGGGAACCTTGAAAAGATTGGGGTTACTCAGAACAAGTGTGGGAGGGGCAGGAGGAACCCCAAATGCCCAGAATCACAGCCAGCTGTGCTAAGTAGAAGCCAGCAGGGGCCACACTTGAGAGGGAAGGGTGGTAGCCACCAACCACTCCAGGCAGATGACTGGCACAAAGGAGTGCCACCTTGGACTCTCTTCAGCATAATTTGGTGCTAGAGAACACAGGCATTGGCTTTGGGGAGCCCCGAGGATGGAGTTGGAAGAGTGGCACACAGAGTAAAAGGAAAGAGAAAATGCAGGGGTGACATGGTCTTGGACACAAATCTTTTTCTTTTTACCTCTTTAAGCTTCTTAGGGCTTTTCCAAATGCAGAGGGAGCTTCATTCTGGCTCTTCTTGTTCCATGTAGAAATGCTCTTCTCCAGGAACTCTGGGAGACTGCAAAGGGTGTCTCTGAAATTTGTGTAAAGGAATTAGTATGACACTCTGTGTTCTCTGTTTCCATTCAAGGCAGCCTATTGCAGAGGACTAACACTTCAGATAAGCAAACTGTGTCTTCTTCTGGAAAGTCCCATTCCAACAGAGAGGATGAACCAATCTGAGTTACAATAGTATATACACGGAAATGTCATAATGAAACACCCTGTGTTTCATTTAAAAATGTCTTTTTTTTTTTCAAAAACAGAGAACAAGAAGGCAAAACAGGTCCTGTCTGGGGGGTTAGTACCAGTGGGAGGATGGGAGGATTTAAGAAAAGGGTGTAGGAGGGTGAGTATGGTAGAAATATTATGTACACATGTTTATAAATGAAAAAATGAGAACTGTTGAAATTATTCCAGGAATGGGGGGAAAGGGGACAAAGGAGAATGATGGAGGGGGAGAATTCAACTATGATATGTTGTAAGCACTTTTGCAAATGTCACAATGTACCCCTAGTACAACAATAATAAATATGTATATTTGGTAAAATAAAATGCATTATCAAAAAAGAAAGTCCCATTCCAAGGCAAAGAGATAGAACCTCAGAGGTAGAGAAGATGAAACCTGCCCCCAGCAGAAGCAGGAAAAAGCACTTACCATTGGAGCAGAGGGAGAAACACTGGTTCTTGCCTCACATCCTTAGAATTGAAAGAGGGAACAAAAAATATAGACATTCATATAGGTGTGGACACATGTGTTGGAAATACCGGTGGGGGGTGGGGGGTCCTCCTAGAGGAGGTAGCTTTTGAGCAGAGCCTGGAAGCATGACAAGGATCTGAGTGGTTTTGCAGTGGGAGGATGAATTGCATGAGGAGCAAGGGAGAAAGCAAGGAAGATGGATGAGTCCAGAGGCAAAAAGGCTTGGGGGCAGAAAAGGAGAATTGATGCTGGAAAGATAGTTTGGTGCCAAAAGATAGAGGACCTTGAATTCCATACTAGGAGACTCTGCATTATTTTTTAGCTATAGGGAACCACAGCAGGTTTTTGATGAGATAATTTGCATAAATTATCCCAAGTCCTTAAATTTGCTGCAGTTGCATTGGTTCAGTTGGTCAGTTTGGGGTGGGGGAAGGTGTTAAGAAAGGGTTAGAAAGGAAGTGAGCCAAGAAGGGTAAATGATTCCAGAGTCCATTGGGTCCTTGGGGTCAGAGGAAGGACAATGTTTTATGCTCCCTGCTCTTCCCCATGAAGAAATTATAGTAATATTCCAGAATGGTGGATAGCCTTATTTTTTTTCTTTGAAAACAAAGCTACTGACCTCTCTGCAGCAGTAAAGTGAAGGTAATACATATCTTAGGACTTGAGTATTTCTGTGGAAATTCAGCAAAAAAGGGCTTCATGTTCAAACTTGGAACACTTTTATGGAATTGGCTGAATTATTTAGGCTATGTGGCATTTCATATATACTTCTCTCTGGTGTGATAGGTTGGAAAATGTGGCTATGTAAAGTGTGAGATGAGAAATATGAGGATCTTTGTTTTTACCTGTGTCAAATGTGATGCTGGAGTTAATTAATGGGCTACTCTGACCCATTTAAGAAGCTTCTGGAAATAACCTCTGAGCCAACACCTAATTGGTCCCAGGTAGACCAAAAAGGAAGCATTGAAATGCCAGAGAAGCAATTATTTTGGGTTATGGACAAGCATCTTACCTGTCATCCTCCCTGACATCTTCTCCAAGGAGACCGTCACAATTCCTAGTTGGCCATTAAATACATAGTTTAGAAGGAACAGAGAGCAGTGCAGGGAAGTCTCCTAAGTCTCCTTCTGCCCAAGAGGAGAACAGTCTGTTTTGCCCAGTCTGTTTTGGGAACAATGCAAAATGTTGATTAGTCAAATACTTACTAGTATGAGGGGATGTCACGGAATGTATTTGTTGCCTACTGAGACTGTAACAAATTATAACAAGTCTAATGGCTTAAAATAAAGTTTAATAATAAAATTTATTACCTCACAGTTCTGATGGTCAGAAATCTGAAACAAGTCTCACTGGGCTAGCAGACCCAGTGAGTTTCTTTCTAGGAGCTCTGAACGAGAAGCTGTTTCCTTTCCTTTCCAAAGGTTGACTACATTGCTTGGCTGTTGGCCCCTTTTGGGTCCTGTGTCTCTGACCCTTTTTGCACCATCACTTCTCTCTCTAACCAATGACAACTGGGAGAATCCTCTGCTGTCAAGAACTCCTGTGAGTAGACTAGGCTTGCCTGAGTAATCCAGGAGAATCTCCCATCTCACAGTCATTAAACTTAGCCACATGCACAAAGTCCCCTTTGCCATGTAAGGTAACATATTCTCAGATTCCAGGGATTAGGACATTGGGAAGGAGCATTTTTCTGCCTGCCATACTGTGTATTAAATTTCTGTGCACATGAGATAGCCTTACTTTCTGCATCCTCTACCACTCAGCTAAAGCCTTAGGTGAACCCTGACCCCCACCAGCCTCTCCACATGCTCTGACCAGCTGGTGTAGAGATCCAGGCAGCCAACTCTGGAGCAACCCTGCCTGGCTTTTATACCAATAATCTCATTTATTCAACAGTCTCTTGTGGCTTTGAACAATTTATCCTCTCTAAATATCAGCATGCTGTTCTGTAAAGAGGGGATGGTTCCCAACAAGAAACAGATGACGCATTCAAATTCAGGTTATTTGAGGAGATGATAATGAGGGGATTTTAGGCCTTCTGAGGTTGCTGCAATGTTTCATTGGCCAGTGTCCATTGCCCTCATTTGCACTGCAACTGGCTTTCTGTAGTCAGAAATCCCTCAGTCCATGGCCAGCCTGAGAGACCTGCTCCCTTCATCTTTCAGAGCTGCAATGGATTCTCATACTAGAAAGCCGAGGCCTTCTAAGGCTTGGCTATTCCAGTCAAACTCAGGGGAAAGCTGGACTCCCTAAAGTATAATCAACAAGCTATTTGATCACTGCCCTAGAATGGTGTTTCTCCTGCTTTTCAGTTAAATGGCAGAAAAGTTTTGCCATAAAAGGAATTTATGAAGTACTACATATAGCAATATTAAAACCATAACCACACAGCAAATAATGGTGTTTTGCCCATCTGCCCTCGCAGGCCCTTGGGTCATCTCAGGTATAATTCACTGGGGAGCTGACTCCATGCTCAACTGGTACTTAGGTGCCTGTGAACCTCTTTCTTGAATATTGTTAAAATTCATTAAATCCATTTCTCTCTCTCTCTCTCTCTCTCTCTCTCTCTCTCTCTCTCTCTCTTTCTTTGGTGGTAGAGGGGTTTGAACTCAGGACTTCATGCTTGCTAGGCAGTCACTCTATCACTTGAACCACACCTCCCGCACATCCTTAACAATGACCTAGACCTCTGAATCATTCCGCAGTGCAGTAGCCCATGATAGAGGATAACAGATTCGTCTACCTGCTTTTGTAACTGTAGAAACTAACTCAAGGCCTGGCATTTTCTAGGTACTCAGTGAATGCTCACTAATGAGATAAGTGAACCTGGATACATTTAAAAGTTGGGAATAGCCATGGGTTGTGTTTTTAAAAAGAAAACAAGAGAAATGGCTTGATCTTCTGGGAGACATGGCACAGAGCATGCACGGTGAAGAATGTACATTTTAGGTTAAGAAATGTCATTATCATTGGCCAGCTCAGATTCCTGCCTCTGGCCTAACAATAGGGTGTCCACAAAATCACTTTCACTCATTCACAGACACCAGAGCAGGAAGGGTCTCTAATGAAATGTAGAAGCTGAAGTGACATTAGAAATAGAGAAATGATTGCAAAGTCGAGGTGAAATACACATACAAAAAGACCCTCATGCTGGAGGCACCCTCTGCTTCCTTTGCTGAAGTTATGTATATTTTTAAAATAATTGCACCATGATTTGCCTATACTTGAAAATTTTAAATTCTCCATTGAGGAAATCTTGAGTGAGCTAAATAAATTAGTTCATTGGATCATTAATTTGCACAAACAATACTAATATAGGCTCTTTGTCATTTCTGTTAGGAGTGTCATCCTTACAGGCAGAGAAGATCAGGACTGGGCCAGCCAAGAAGGAACAGGGCCAGGGCCTCTTTGGATCATGTCTCTGGCTTCTGATGCCATCTCTTCCATGTAGTTTCTAAAAACATCACAAACTCCCCAGTCCTGCTCAACACCCTTTCCCAGCTCACACCTCTTATCGGGAGATGTGTTCTGAATGAATCCACCTAGGCAGATGGGCCATGTGGAGAAGAGTTCACAGGCCTGTCCTGTTCTTTCCTCACAGGCAAAGTTTTGCATTTGTTGAGTCAGAGAACCCACTCATATTTTCAAACTAGAAATCTCAGTTTAGCAGAAATATCTATCACTGCAGAGATGAGGAAAGTGACGTTCCAAGAAGTTACATAACTTGCCCAAGGTCAACACAGTATGATAGTGAAGCTGAGGCTGGCAGGTCTCTCTGGGCCTCAGTTTAGTGTTCTCCTGCTACTTCATCGTGGCTTTCATCTAGAGAGGATTGCTTCTCCTCACTCATCTCTCATCCCCATGGTCTATTTCAGTGAATTGTGTTTACCTTTTCAGTAATATTTCTCAAGTAGAAGAAATTCCACAGCATGGTAGAATGGTTTCCATTTTCCTGCTGTTTGCAAGAGTGTTTTACCTGTGTGGCAGTGCTAAGCTCTGAGTTCCTTAGAGTAGGGCATCCTGATTGTTGAGGCCCATCCAGGCAGAACAAGCCAACCTGACCAACTGGTTTCTCTGCTTCACTTGGCTGTCAGTAACAGCAACCTGCTTATTGATTGACACAATGACACTTAGGTCCCAACATGTTCCGTAATGACACAGAGCTTCGTTTTATTCTTTCCTAGGAACAAAAGGTATCAAAAGTTAGAAGGGAGTGAACAATCAAGAAAATATAAATATATACTTTCCCATCTCCCCAGCCCCAGCCCAGGAGATGTGGTCTGCCAGTAGAAGATAGAGCCAACCAAATCCATGGTACTAGAGAGAACCCTGAACAGCAAGACAGGTGGCCACTGGGCAGAAATCAATCCTGAGACAGTTGAGAATCAGCCAGTCTGGATTGATTCTCTGCATCCTACTCTATCCCTTTAGGACTGTGCTAAATGTCTCCTTCAACGCAAATGGCATTAAGTGCCTTGTGCATGAAGAGGATGTGGGCAGGCACTGGCTGAGATGAATCGTAACTCCCTTGTCTATGAAATGAGAATATAAAAGTCTACCTCCTGTGAGAACTAAGTGAGTCTATATAGAGCTGAAGCTCTTAGAACTGTGCCTGGTCCAGAGTAAATACTCAACAAATGTCAGCTAACAAAGTGAAAATGAAAACCCAGGTAGAGTTTTTGCCTGCAAAAGGATTTAAATCTAAGGAAAGAAATAAAAGGCTGTATATATACCACTCTGGGAAAAGTTAGCACAAGACCATATATGGAAAAATACTAAAAGCAAAAGAACAGGTTTGACTTTAAAAGTAGATGCATGAAGCCCTGGAGGGAGGGAGGGAGGGTATGGAGGGTAGGGAAGAGGAAGGAAGGAAGGAAGGAAGGAAGGAAGGAAGGAAGGAAGGAAGGAAGGAAGGAAGGAAGGAAGGAAGGAAGGAAGGAAGGAAGGAAGGAAGGAAGGAAGGAAGGAAGGAAGGAAGGAAGGAAGGAAGGAAGGAAGGAAGGAAGGAAGGAAGGAAGGAAGAAGGAAGGAAGGAAGGAAGGAAGGAAGGAAGGAAGGAAGGAAGGAAGGAAGGAAGGAAGGAAGGAAGGAAGGAAGGAAGGAAGGAGGGAGGGAGGGAGGGAAGGAGGGAAGGAAGGAGGGAGGGAGGGAACAACACTGTTGTGCCCTTCATGATCAGGTGGCGGGGGGAGGGAGGGAGGAAGAAAGGAAGGAAGATACTAGAAGTGGAAATTTTTTTAAAAATGTTTGGAGCCCTCAGGTGGCACTGGGAGTAAAAGCTTTTGTTAGGAGCCAAGTTCAGGTTAAGATTTAATGGGTTGTATAGGGTGACACCAGGCTGTGCTAGAAAGTGCCCCACATCCTCAGAAAGCAAAGCATGAACATAGGTATACAGCACTGGAAGAAGTAAGGGATCTGCCAGGCCCTGGGCTACTCACTGGATTCACGCTCCTGGTACTTTCAGGATCTTACGGTACCTGAGAGTCACACAGCTCACAGAAGGGTATAGCCTATGTTTTCTGAAAATCTGAGAAGTGGAAGATGAACTTTAGATTTGGTTAAGCATGATTATACATTGGAGTCAGGCAGACTTGGGTTGGAATCCTGGCTTTGCCACTTATTAGCTCTGTGGCTTTAGATAAATCACTTAACCTTCATGGGTATTGAGTTAAGCATCTTCTTTATTAAATAACTTATAAGACTAAAGAAAAAAATTAGACCATTTAAAATATCAAGGGCAGTATTGGTCATAAAATATATATTTGAAAATGCTTGTTATTATTTTTATAAGCTCATAGGAGCCTACTTGTAAACTCTTGGGTATTCTCCAAAAAGTATGACAAGGAATTTCAGAGACAGTATTATTAGCTGGTATTGTAGTGGACCTTGCTCAGAAAAATATAATTGTCAAAGATTTGTCTGAAACAACAAGGAGTAAGCATTCTAAGATTGTGCAGTCCCTAAGAGTTTTTAAGTAGAAGGTGAATGGTACAGATTGAATTTCCACATTCTTAAAAATGGCTGGACCCAAAGACACAGCAATTATAATTGATTCATTGAAGCCAAGTATTCATTGTGGCTTCATCAATTTTTGATAAATGCATTTTTGTCATTTGAGTCCCATTATATTTTAAATTTGCTGTAGAGCAAACCGCCCCACATTTAGTGGTTTCTCACTCCTGAGTGAGCAGGTCAGCTGAGGTTTGGATGATCTAGCTATGGGTTCAAGCTTGTTTGCTGCAGAATCTTCTCATCTTCCTTCGAACAGGAGCTAAGACATGTTCTTCTCATGGCAGAGGCAACGGGACAAATGAAGAGGCTAAACACAACCACACAGGTACATCATGAGCCTCTGCTCATATCACATTCTGTAACATCCCAGCAGCCAGACAGGTCATACAGCCACGCCCAAAGGTCAAGGGGTGGATCCTCTGCCCACCTAGAGGCCAGGGCAACATTACAGCATTTATTAATACTATAGAGGAGTCAGGAGTTGGGACCAGTAATTCTTCCTTCCACATCTCTGATGCTGTAAACTACTCCTGGAGTGTTGTGCCCTTAATGATCAGGTGAGGGATTGACCATATCCCTGTTATGGACCAACATAAAAAGATAGGGATTCCTCTTTACTTTACTTTACAGTTGTGCAATGAAGCAACTAAACTGGGCCACAGAGAAAGGAGTCAAGGAGAATTCCTCTGTACAGCCAGGCTTTCAAATCCAGTCCACAGCAGCGGAGACTAGAAATTATTACCATCTAATACTTACTCAGAGGTCTTAGTGAATTGAATTATTGGCTTCCCTCCAATTCTCAATTATTTTCTGGCCATTTTGTAGAAACCATCAACATAACTGATACTTCTGATTTCAAATAATACATTAGATCAACAGCATAGATTATTTTGAAAATGTGATCATTTTTCTAGGAATAGTTCTCTTTGGCTATTGATAAGTAATACTCAAACCACTCAATTGTTAGGTTGAGTTTAAGAGACAGTGGATAATGTGAATGTGGATTACATTCTTTTTTATGCTGTAATTTAACAGAATACAGGTCTTCGGAGGCTGACACTCATCCCATCATCTGAGGGGCTACACATTTCAGGCAAACACAAATATCCAGGGAAGAATGATTTGTGTGCTTGGCTGATTTTCTAGGAATCTTATTGGGAAGCAGAATAACTCAGGGGTTAGAAACCTGATCTGTGGAATCTGTGACTGAGTTTAAACTTGGCTCCACCACTGAGTAGCTATGTGACCTTGTGATGGTTGTAAAGATTGCTTAATCATTGTAGTCATTATTGTTGTTGATCACAGATGTTCAGTTTCTTCTCCTCTACCCAGGGACTGAGTCCTCTGGTTCATCTGTGATTACGTGATACCATATAACTAGTTCTGAGCAAATTATTGTGCACAAAAATGTTATATATAACTTCCAGTCTGTACCATTTAATACCCAGTGAGTGGCTTTACAGAATCCTTGCTTGTCACTCTGGCACAGTTGCCAACAACATAAGACAGTGACTGGTCCATCATCCCAGTCCACAAAGTAACTACAATGACCAGAGTCCCCAGCTGATCTGCCATAGATAGGTAGCATGAGAGAGAAGCAAACATGGTTGTGGTAAGCCACTGACATTGTAGGGGTTATTTACTTTTATAACTTAATGCACTCTACCCTAGTTGACACACCTTACAAAATCTTAGTTTCTTTATCTGAAAAAATGAAGATAATAGTAGAATCTATTTTATAAAGTAATTATGAGTTCTAAGCAGATAAAGTATGTATAATATTTATACATAGTACCTAAATAGTACCTAGGACATAAATAATTCTAAATATATTTTGGTGATGATCTTTTTATCTAAGAGGATGTGTATTTCCATCAAACTAGTTATTAGTTATGTCTTTGAGAAAAATCACTTAACCTCAAATTGCAGTATGTTAATCTAGATGAGTTTCCGTTTAAATTTCTAGTCTTAAGATAATATGACTTCATTGAGGAATCAGAATCCATTCTGGCATTTTGAAGACACTTCTATCAGATAAAGGAACAAAACATGATAATACTGCATATTCTCTTCTCCCCTTCTCCAGTTGCTCCCCTTTCCTCCCCCAAAAAAGATCTGTGTCATTGTTACAAAATTTTCTGTATCCCATTCTGAAGATATTTGCCCAGAAAATTACATCTGGTTTATAAATCCTTAGCTACAAATTGTCTTATCAATTTAGGCACTTACATTCTTGTCAATTTATCCCCATTCCTTGTTCTGTTTTCACCAATAAGATGTCATCTGGCTCCAGGCTTCAGCCCACAGCCCACCATAGGCTTTCTCCTGATAGTGGGGTCTTCTCCAGTTCAAACGGAGAGTATCCTGATCTTGACCACCTTCATCCTCACATCACCATTCACAACCACTGAGGCCTTTTTCTAACGTCTCCAGATCAGGGCTTCCCATGTCTTGATTTACAGTCTTTTGTCTGCCATGTAACTGGATGGGCCCTTCTCTGGACCCAAAGGCAGCCCTGCCTGAACTTCTTAATAGTTAGCATATGTTAACATTTTAGGTTTACCCACAAGAAATTGTCATTTTGAGGGATTTGAATATGGTAATTTCCTATGGTTCAACCCATATATATATCCCCCCTATTTGGGTAAGAGGAAAAGTTTGTCACATACATACTGAATTACATATTGGATTCCCATCAAGAATCCTAATGTATTTCTCCCTTCGTACCTTGTTGAACTGGTTGGGGGGTGGTTCTTATAGAACATGCCTTAAGGCCTTTAGTACCTATGACTTCTACACATCCAGCACTTGATCCATAGCAGAAACAGATATTATCATTATTGACACCCTAGCATCTCTGCTGTTAGCACCCATGTTGCACACTTAGACTGTTTTTAAGGGCACCATTTGCTACTAATTTGTTGGAGAAAACAACACTTCTTTTCTTTAACTTCTTTTAGATCGAAGACATCATCACAAAGATGCAAGATGACAAGACAGGGGGTGTGCCCATCAGAACAGTCAAGAGCTTTCTCTCCAAAATCCCCAGTGTCGTCACAGGTAATGTACTCCTTACAAGATCTCAGTGATAACTGGAACCATGACTGAAGAGTTGTATAATCTAGATTGTGACATGGGGGTGTCAGGCATCTGTGAATAGTAAAAATGAAACTTTCGGTGTGTCTCTTACATCAACTCCCATTCTGGTGGTGGTTTCCAGGAAGAAACTACTCTTTGCCAATCATTAAGAATGATCTTGCTATGACCATCTTTCAAGTGTGTGTAGGTTGAGGCCTCTGGGAATAAATAAACCCTTTAATAAATGAAACACATTAGAAATTAGCACTTTGGGATGTAAATAAACACAGAAATACTAAAGAAATTCAATATAAACAGGTTTTTTGGTTTGGTTCTTGGTTTTTTTGAGACAGGTTCTACCTCTATAGCCCAGGCTAGCCTCGAACTCTTAATCCTCCTGCCTCAACCTCCCAAGTTCTGGGATTATGCTACCACACTTGGGTAAGCTTAAATGGCTTTTAAGAAACCTTTATATTTTAAGAAAGTCTTATGTACAAGTTCTACAAAATGCTTTTAAGTTCTAGTTCACTATACTTGAGCTCTTGAAAAAGTAGTTTAAAAATACTGCTTTGTATTCCATTTCTGTGTTTTATGTGCTTAAACATATTTCTCTCAAATTGATTGTGAAATATATTAAACACATGGATATAGTTTCAAAAATAATAATATAACACCCCTCTGTACCTACCTTGCCTTAGAATAACATATGATCAGTATTTTAAAGTCCTTTGGGTACATAGTAGATTGAATCTCCCTTCCTGTCCAAAATCTATTTTGTTAATTAATTCATTGCTGTTCTTCATGGTTTTACAACCTTACTATCCAAACAAATAAGCAAATAAGTTAAAGTTTAGACGATTCACTCATTCTTAATGTTTGACCATTTGCTTTCTAAAACTCAGCAACCAACAGGACTTAGTTTCTACTAAGCACCATTTAGAATGGCTAAGATTAAAAAAAAATCCTACAATACCAAGTGCTGGTGGTGATTTGGGGTAATCAGGACTTTTGCATATTGCTGACAGAATGCACAATGGTTAGCCACTTAGAACAACAGTTTGGCAGTTTCTTATAGAGTTAAACACTGCTCACCATATGACCAAATAATCCTATTCTTAGGTATTTACCTAAGAAAAATGAAAACTTGTGTTCACACAAAAACTCATATGCAAGTGTCTGTAGCAACTTTATTTATAATCTCCATACACTAGAAACAACCCAATGTCCTTCAGTGGGTAAATACATAAATGAAGTCTGGTTTATCTGTACTCAACAGGTATAAAAAAATAGAGTGAGATATTGATACACTCAGAAACTTGGACTAAACTCAGTGCCATTTTCCTCAATGAAAGAAAAGCCAGTCCCAAAAGATTACATACTCTCTGATTCTGTTTACATTGCATTCAAAAACAAAAAACTCTGGTGATGGAGAACAGAACAATTGTCACCAGGCATTGGAAATTTGGGGTGGGGGTGGAGTGTGATGCCAAGGGAGAGGAGGAGGGGGTTTTATGAGGCAATAAAGCTATTCTGTATCCTGGCCATGGTGATAGTGACATGTGTCTATATGAGTTGCACTTCATAAAACAGCACACACACACACACACACACACACACACACACACACACACACACAGAGTCAATGTCATTATATGTTAACTAAAAAAGTAAACTCAGCTGAAGTATTCATACAGTCACTGTTTGAACTCAAATACTGTCTTGGTCACTTTGGGCTGCTTCAACAAGGTATTAGGTGGCTTAAAATGTCAGAATTTATTTCTCATGGTTCTGGAGGTTGAAAGTCTAGATCAGAGAACCGACCAGCCAGCTTCTGGTGAGAATCGTCTTCCAGCGGACTTCCAACATCTGGTTCTATCTTCACATGGGGCATAGCTCTCTGGTCTCTTTGTATAAGGGTACTAACTGCATTCATTGGGTCAGCCTCATGAGTTACCTCCCAAAGTCTACATCATATTGGGAATTCGATTTCAGTATACAAATTTTCAAGAACCACAGACATTCAGACTTTAACAAGTACCAAATAAATTTGGAAGTTGTATTGTTCATGTTCTCTGATTTTGAAATGTATCTAAACAGAATTTTACATATGTATTAGATATGATATCTTGATATGATATATTACTTTTCATACATTTCTGGATTTTGTTTGATATATGTTCAGAATTTTGTTTTGATATAGGATCTTGCTATGTCTGTCAGGTGGCCTGAACTCTCCTGCCTCAGCCTCCCTAGTGCTGGAATTACAGGTATATGCCACCATGCCTGGCTCAGAAATTTTTTTTACCTGTTTTCATGGACAAGATTAGTCTATTGTTTTTCTTACATCTGTTGCTGGTTTTCGTATCAAATTTTTGCCAGACTCACAAAATGAACCATAAAGTACATCCCTTTTTCTCTTCAGTTGATATTGTGTTCTCTAAAAAATAATTTTTTTTATCTAGCTAAGTGTTTTATTTCAATTATTTTTTATTTCTAAAAGTTTCCTCTTGTTCTTTTTCAATACACTTGGTTATTTACATATTTACTCATTTAGATATTTGGTAGGTGTTTATTATTTTCTAAGCATTGTTGGGCAATTAGGATTCAAAAGTAAATGAAACATAAAAATTTCTATTCCCACAGAATTTATATTCTAGAAAAAAACACAATACACAATATTAAGGAAAATTTTTAGAATTTTAGATAGTGACAAAAGCCAAGGAGAAAAATTAAATCTGAAAATGAGATAGAAAATTTTAGAGTGTTGTGATTTTGGAAAAAGTAATCTAGGAAGAAGTCCTTGGTGCTGTGGTTTCTGAATAAAGATGGAATAGAGATGAGGGAGTGAGTGAAATCAATACTGAGGAACAAAGCGCTCTAGATGGCCACTGCTATAGCCCCAGGGCAGGAGAGTTCCCGGTATACTGTGGAACTGCGGAGGGAGCCACAGTGGCTAGAGTAGAGTGAAGAAGAGGAGTAGGGAAGAAGTCAGTGTTGATGGTGAGTTAGATCATTTGGCCTCTCAGTCATTATAAGGCAACATGCATGGGTTGACATGCTCTGACTTCCTTTTCAACAAGATCAATCTGTTGTGTCCAGAAGATTCAGGGATGGGGAGGGACTTAAGTGCCAGATAGGAAGCTATTATAAAAATAGCTTCAACTATTTTCAAACTTGGTTGTTGGCATTAGACATGTAAGATTCAAGTTCAAGTTTAAGAATAGACAGTATTTGGGGATAGCAAGGAGGCAGAATTAAAAGAAAGAAAGAAATCAATGATGATGATTACACACTTTTGGCTTGAGCAACTAGAAGACTGGAGTTGACATTAATTAGCTTAATGAGGAAGATTGTGAGGGAACAAGGGATTTTCTTGTTTGTTGTTTAGCTGGAAAGTGAGAAATCCAAAGATCAATTTTAGACAGGTTAAGTTTTAGAGACCCTATTAGACATTCAATTGGAAATGATAAGTAAGCATTTGGGTATGTGGATCTAGATTTTAAGGGAGTGTCTCAGCTGGGGATGGAAATAATCAGCATATAAATGGTATTTAGAACTGTGGGATTCGTGAGCTCATGAATAGTCCAAGGCCTAAAACTTGGGATATCCAGTATATACAGGTCAGCAAGAGAAGGACTTACAGCAAAGGAAATTGAAAAGAAATTGCTAAAGACAAGAAAATCAGAAGAATAGGACTTCTTTTCTTTTTTTTATTATGATATATTCTTTGTGTGTGGAGGTTCATTGTTACAATTCCAAATAGGCTTACATTGTACATTGGTTAGACCATCCCCACCATCTCTCCCCCTCCCACCCACTTGAAGCAATTGTAAGAGGTTTCATTGTTCTACTTCATATAAGTATATGATGTCCATCAACCATATTCCCTCACTTTAATCTCTTTCGTTCAACGTCTCCTCTTCTACGAGTAACTCCACATATGCTGTACCTATTTTATGGTCCTGTCTTTCATTATTAATTTCCAAGTTGATGTTCAAAGGGGTTTCTTGATGTGTCCCCATTGTGAGTATACTTTACTTCGGTCCAGTTCAACCCCTTCCATTGCTCTCCCTTACTCCTTTCCTCCCACCCCCAGTTTTCAACAGCTTTCAATACATACCCTTGTGTCCTCTCCCTTCACAGATGTCATGCATTATGATATGGTTGAAACTCTATCATTCCCTTTTCCTTTCCCTCCTTCTCCAAGTTCCATAGAGTAGTTCCACTATTACAAACATGTTCTACATATGCATTTGTATATGATCATGTTTGTTTTTGTATATATGTTTATCTTCCACATGTGAGAGAAAATATGTGACCTTTATCTTCCTAAACACAACTCACTTCAATTAACCTGATGTCCTCCAATTGCATCCATTTACTTTCAAACCACATCGTGTCATTCTTCCTTGTGACTAAGTAAAATTCCATTGTATATGTATATACCACATTTTCTTGATCCAGTCATCTGGGTTGTTTTCATAGGTTGGCTATGGTGAACAGTGCTGCGATAAACATTGGTGTGCAAGCATTTCTTCTGTATCCTGACTTACATGCCTTTGGATATATGCCCAGGAGCAGTTCTATCTTTAGCTTTTGAGGACTCTCCATACTGCTTTCCATTATGGTTGTACTAATTTGCATTCCCACCTACAGTGTTTAAGGGTTCCTGTTTCACTGCATCCTTATCAGCATTGGTTGTTGTTGATCTTGAAGATGGCCATTCTAATTGTCATTTTGTAGTGTAGTGTTATTTTGTAATGCTTTTTTAGAGCAGGGATGTTGAATACTTCTTCATGTATTTATTGGTCATTTGTACCTCTTCCTTTGAAAATTCCCTATTCAATTCATGTGCCCATTTCTTCACTGGGGTATTGATTCTTTGGGGGCTGAGTTTTTTGAGTTCCCTGTAGATTCCAGATATTAGTCTTTTATTATATGAATAGGTGGCAAAGATTTTCTCCCATTCTGTGGGCAGTCTC